TTAAACACCACCCCACCAATCTTTAGGGGATTAAAATCTCTTTAATATTATATCTTGAAGGTCTCAGTCCCAGACAACAAAAGAAGAGAAAAACAGAAGGAATTGTTTTACTAGACAATGGTAACTTTCTGAAGAGGTCAGAGAGAGGTAGTTCTGAAATGGTCAGGGCCAGCTCGTTGAGTAGGGGTCTAGGTACTTTACTGCCTGCCTCCCAGCCTTGAATCTCTTCATGTGCTTTTCACAAAAGCATCTCTCCCAAGTTCTCCTGGATCCTTAAGAACTGCTTGGGGAAACATGAGGTCTCTGCAGTCAAATACCAGCTCAGTATGGGTGAGTTACCTATATTCTACAAAGGAAGGAGAATTTTGCCCTTTACTCTAATTGTAAAAGGACTCCATTCTTAAGAAGACTCCTAACTTTAAAAGAATAACCATAACTGACATCTTGTACTTGCTAAATGCCAAACACCATGGTAAGTACTTTATATCCATTAACTCATTTATCCCACCTTTCCTTCCCTTCCTTTAGCTTTTATATGTGGCTGTTCACTCTGCCAGAGGAGTGGCCCTTCTGGGGAACAACAAAGTCCTCCCTATGCTGGTGTGTCCTCACACCTTTTAGTGATAGATTCTAGTCTCCAACCATGTTAAATCTGCTGTTCCCTAGTGTTTGCATTCAAGCAATTCAATTCATCTTTGCAGTTCCATCAGTGTTTCCTATTAACCAGTTACCCACAGGCATCTGGATTTCACTGTCAGATCCAAAGCCAAAAAGCCCTAGCACTGAGACTGCTTCCCACCTCCAGGGATCACAGCTGAAAGTCCTCCATTTCCCAAAGAATTAGTGAAATACTAGAACTTTCTAAAAACATTAATACCTCCTTTACAGGTCTGCATCTCTTAGGAGCTGCATTAGCTTTCAGTTAAGAAATCAAACGTCAAGGCTCTTCATCACACTACCAGGCTCTTCATACCTTCCCTGCATAGTCCTGTTATTTTTAAGGTACTCAAATGTTTACTAAATGAATAAGTTAACCAATGTTTGTTCTAAAAGCATTCAACATACATATGTCAAGCAGATAACTTCAAATTATGAAAGTCTGAATTTAACTTCTGTTCTTTTTCCTGACCTCCCTTTCTATCTAATGCCTCCTGACTAATCTCACCACCTCTGTTCTCCTACCCCTCTGAACCAGCTTCGATAATGCAGCTAGTGTTAGCTTTCTCAAATATATGTAATCTTGTCATTTCTCTGTTTATAAACCCATTAATGTTTCCCGGTTACTTCCAGAATTAAGTCTCCTTCATAAGAAGACTCATACCTATGCTCTTCTACTGGATAACCTTACATATTCCTTTGCTACATGATAAGATGCTACCATCCTTTATTTCTAAAGGCAAATTTAATACCATCCCTGGCATCTAAGATTTTAGGCCAAATCTGAGGGCCCTTGTTTTAAAGAGTTCAAATCTTGTAATTGTAAGAGGTTTAGTACAATTCTGAGTCCTCTTCTAAATGGCCACTAATCCAGACAACTTCAGGAATTCCAGCTACATGAATATAAACCAAGGTTGTAAGTGAAATTCTACCATTCTTTCTTTTCTTCTAGGAGCCAAACAAACTACATGCTATTCAATTAAATGCTATTCAAAGGGCTGAAGCTAACTAATTGATGCTATAGTACATTTCTCTCTCTTCCTTAGGAGACCCTGGAGTATTGACAATTCAGCCATTTTGGCTCCTCTAATAACCCTGAATTTGATCCTTACATGAAAATGACATTTTTTAGAACATAGAAATAAATAGCAAATTAGCTTTGAGAATTAGAGTCTGCTTCGGTTTATGAAATCTACCATAGTGCAGCAAGATTGAGGGAAATATCTTGCTCTTCATTTTCTAGCTTAGGCCCTGACAGAGAACCAGTGGCCCCAGAGAACCGTTTCAGACCAACAGGAGTCAAGAGAGACAATACTGCCCCGTCCTTCCCTCCCCTAGTAAGAATCTCAGTCCTCTTGACCCTCTTACATACACCCCTTTCTCTCTCTTTTTTTTTTTTTTTTAAGATTTTATTTATTTTATTTTTCCCCCCAAAGCCCCAGTAGATAGCTGTGTGTCATAGCTGCACATCCTTCTAGTTGCTGTATGTGGGACGCGGCCTTAGCGTGGCCGGAGAAGCAGCGCGTCAGTGCGAGCCCGGGATCCGAACCCGGGTCGCCAGCAGCGGAGCGCGCGCACTTAACCACCAAGCCACGGGGCCGGCCCCACCCCTTTCTCTCTTACATACATAGGTAGACATGGATTATTATTTTATATTAGTTATTATGTCTCTCCAAATAGTTTTTTTTGGGGAGCCAGATAAGCTTTACTTAGGGGCTTTCTCTTTTTTTTTTTCTCCTTGGATTCTCCTGCCCCTCAAAGTGAATATTTTTCTACCGTTTCTCTTTGGAGCCAAACCTATGTGGCAATTTCAGAAGCTGCTTGGGAATAGCAAAAGATAAAAGTGGTTTTTTTCCTGAACCGTGTCTTTTTTTCTAGGAATTTTTCTGGCCTCACAGCAAGTATATTATTGACTAAGTCATATTTTTAGATTATAGCTAAGATCTTAGTATTAAAACCAAGGTTATAACCATGGTAGCAAACCAACAGCTTCTTTTCAATTTGTTTTTTTCTTCAAAAACGCTTGTGTTCTTCTTTGGACAGTCCTGGCCTCATTGATACTTCCCCTTAGAAACATTCTCTCAACTTGGGGAAGGGGACAGATGAATTCTGACCGAGGCAGGTGGTCTTATCTGCCGTGCATGGCACTTGGTGTGATGCCGCTGGAGTGGCTTGTGCTGTCATTGTTGCTGTTGGCATCATCATCATCCTTGTCACCCTCGCCTACAATCTCATGTTCAGGAGAAGAAGCTTGGCTTTCTCATCTAAGGATCAATAATAGCAATTTCTTAGAGATGAGGAAAGGTGTATCTTATTGAACGATCTCCAGCAGTGATCTTATTCTGAACTCAGGAACAACCATGGTGAGAATATAGGTCACCATCTTCTTGACAGAACTGTAAATCAGGCAGTGCACTTATGATAGTAGTGATAGTGGAGGGGGCCTAGACTCACTAGCATTTGATTATTATTGCAGAGTTAGTAATTCAACAGAGATTTCAATGTCTTTCTTAAAGTAAATACTGCCATTTCTAGCACTGGATGTATGACTTTTAGGTTTATGTGCCCTATTTTTGTCTTGTTGTCTAAAAGTTGCTTAAAAACATGCACATGGGCCGGCTCCGTGGCTTAGCGGTTGGGTGCGCGCGCTCTGCTGCTGGCGGCCCAGGTTCGGATCCCGGGCGCGCACCGATGCACCGCTTCTCCGGCCATGCTGAGGCCGCGTCCCATGTACAGCAACTAGAAGGATGTGCATCTATGACATACAACTATCTACTGGGGCTTTGGGGGAAAAAATAAATAAGTAAAAAAAAAAACATGCACATGCCCCATGTGCTAACTGTTGACTACACTGTGACTGTCACCATCATCACAGAGGAATAATACATCTTCCTCTGGCACGTGGTTGGTTCTGTGTGGGAAATCCTAGTGTAAGTGCTGGCAAAGAGGCGGGGACAAGGATGGGAAATATAAAGGGTATGTTAAGAGCTACAATAGGTCAGGAGTCTTTGGGCATTGAGGATGTGGTATTGGGTTTCTTCTTCTTCCTTGCTGCAGTACAGAGGTGAGGAATAAACTACGTATGTGCAAGTAGGTGCACATTTGTGATGATGTTTACTGACTGATAATGAGAGGGAAATGCCTGCTTCAACAGAGTTTAGCCCGAGCAAAGATTTTTATTTTGAAGTTTGCTAAAGGTCAGAGGCATAAAATAGAAGAGGCACATTTCAAATTAATTAAGATTCTTTGGGGGAAGATTTCCTCTCTTTGATATGTTTTTCTTTTTCTTCTGTTTCTACTTCAATCCATCAGCGCCACCACCAAAAACAGAGAGGGGGGGGGGGAAAAACCTGGAGACGAACTAGCATTTTAGAGGGAAGTAATTCCAAATAGATTTATACTATAAAGTGCTTTAAGCCAAGAGAGAACTGGAATATGAGTGTGATATAATAAAATACACTGTACTATAGATAATTATGCAGATGTAGAGTATTATGAACCAAATATAAATGTAAACACTAAAAGCCTGAGTAGAGCTTAAAGATATAAAACATACCATGAAGGAATGGATCCATGTTCCAGCCAGCTTGGTGTTTTGTCTCTAACAGGAGTACCTAAAAAATGTTATAGCAGAACCTGGTTGCCTGTCCTGGTATCAATAGTGAAAGATTAGAGATGTTTCACCCCAAATCCTGGATTTCCTTGACCATGATGTCTCTATTATTCATTCATTTAAACTTTTAAAAACTTGCAAATAACTTATGACTAAACCAGTATTCGTATGGTAACAAATTTCATTTTTTACTACCTGACGTGGTAATTAGTATTTCGTTTTATTTGTCTAAGTTTATGATAATCTTCAAGATCCTGCAGGTATTTTGCAGTTCTCATATTCTATAGTTTTGTGAGTAATCTATGTTCAGCTTATTTATACCTTCATGATTTGATACATTTTTATTTCCTCTTCATTATTTTTGAATGGAACCTAGATTTTATTAGTCTTCTCTCAGTACACAGTTTACTTAAGAGGTATAGGTTAATTGTGTTCCCTAGCGTTTGTATGATAAAAAACATTCCACTATAACAAAGTACCTTTTTTCAAAACCATTAACAAGCTTCCTTTGGCCTCTCATTATTCCTGAAAAATAGGTAGGACAGTTACATATTTTCTTATTCTATGACAGAGAGGAATTCTTTTAGTTTTTTGTTTTTCCCCTTAACTCTGTGTTGAGTTTATTGCTATTAGTTGGAGTCATTCTTTCCAAGAGGCCAGGGTCTTCCTCACTCTCCAACATCTAAGTGTATAATCCTTCTGACCTTTTATTCCTCGTGTCTCCCTGCAGCCATATGTGTCATTGTCTCAGCAGATGGCACCACCTAGTCCAAGCAACAGTACCCCTAACAGCAGCAGTGGAAGCAATGGAAATGACCAGCTGAGCAAAACCAATCTCTACATCCGGGGACTGCAACCAGGCACTACTGACCAGGACCTTGTCAAGTTGTGTCAGTCGTAAGTTGGGGTACATGTGGGTAGGCTTCCAGGGACAGTACAGATTTGGTGATACTGGCTTCCAGTTACTCGTATCTTGAAATGCAATATTATTTTGCTTCTACACCATAGTCACAAGGTTTTTCAGCAGCCCCTCTTAAAGAAATTCTGCCTGCTGCTGATACAGAAAACCATTGTGTGTTTTTCTGGGGAAAGCCAGGATAGGGCTGGCCTTTGAAGCCTAGTATACTTTGTTTTCAGCATGTACCCACAACTGATGGTCTTAGTAGAAACATTCCTATCCTTACACTTTGAATAGAAATGCACAATTTCTCTAAGGATATTGATTAGAAGGCAGTGAGAGCTGGCAGTGGGGACAGAAGAAAGTGGGACTAGCCAATTGAATTATGCTCTTAGGAGAGTTTCTGCTGCTAGAGATATTCCCAGTGAACCAGAGGAGCCCTCAAATTAGTGGATAAAGAAGGTGGAGAAAGAGACTGTCACTCTGCATCTACCCCTTAAAGACCTTTGCGGTTCTTCAGAGTAGATTTGAGTCATGAGGTAGAGATAACTACTGTGGAATTAACCTTAGGAATGCTGGGAAAAAAAGAGATGCCAGCTCAATTCCATTTGGCAGAAAAATATGTGTTTCAAACAATATATTAGGGGGAATGATTAGAGGAAGAAGTCTGGGAGTAGGATGGGGACATTAATGGGAGGAGGAAAATTGAATTTGAGTGAGTAAAAGGTGGAAAGAGATAGAAATAGGAACCTCAGACTGTATAAATTTACAATCTTAAAATTTTTTATTGAAGTATAACAAGCATATAGAAAAGTGTACAAATCCTAAGTGTAGATACAACAGTGAATTTTCAGGAGGTGAACACACTCTTGTGACCAGGTTAAGAAATAGAACATTACCAACTCTTCAGAAGCCCACCTCTCAGTTGCTATGTCTCCCTCTCCTGCAAAAGTATCTACTGTTTGGCTTCTAAATAATTGATTGGCTTGTTTGAACTTCATATAAATAGAATGATATAGCACATACCCTTTTGTGTCTGGCTTCTTTTGCTCAATGTTGTTGGTGAGATTCATCCACATTGTTGCATGTATACAGCAAAACTTCATTCATTCTCATTGCTTTATAGAATTCCATCACAGAAATATACCATAGTTTATTTACCCATTCTACTATTGCTGGACATGTGGTTGTTTCCTGTTTGTGAATATTATGTATAGTGCTGCTGTGAACTTAACGGGTCTTTTGGTGCACATGTGTACACACTTATCTTGGGTATATATACCTAGGAGTAAAATTGCTGAGTCATAGGATATACATTTGTTCAGCTTTTGTAGATACTACTAAACAATTTTCTTTTTCTCTCTCTTTTTTGTATATATATATATTTTTGTGTGTGTGAGGAAGATTAGCTCTGAGCTAACATCTGTTGCCAATCCCCCTCTTTTTGGTGAGGAAGATTGGCCCTGGGCTGACATCTGTGCCCATCTTCCTCTACTTTATATGTGGGACACCGCCATAGCATGGCTTGACAAGCGATGCATAGGTCCGCGCCCAGGATCCAAACCTGTGAACCCCAGGCCGCTGAAGCAGAGCATGTGAACTTAACCACTACGCCACTGGGCCAGCCCCCCTAAACAATTTTCTGCAGTGGTTAAACTAATTCAAACTCCCATGACAGTATATGTAAGTTCCAGCTGTTTCAAATCCTAGAGAGGCAGAACATTTTGCCCCCAAAATGTAGTTGTATGAGGCATTAGAAGTACTGCATAAATCCCTTGCTCTTCTGAGGTCGTGGTTTGGTCCATGCAAATCATATGGATTTTGGCTAGAACCAGGCTGCACAGACTCGATCTTTGAAGGCTAGGTGTGTTTACAAAACTGGTTCCTTTGCCTCAGCTTACCTCGCTAGAAGGTATTTAAATGGAACTTAGGGGACTTAGTCTAGGACTAGTAATTTTTTGAGGGAATGGGAATTGGCAGAAAGGTTGGTTTATGAGGGAAAAGAGTATTATATCAGTCTAGTTCTTTGATTTTTGCACCTTGTGTTTCTTGTACTAATTATAATGTGCTACAAAAATCTTCTCACTGCACAAAACAGAGAAGAACTCAGTTCTGTTTCACTATACTTTTAGACTTTGATTTTGCCCTTCCCAACAGTTGCCTTACCTTCCGCTGTGTCTGAAGGGATGAGAATAGTCAGGGTCAGCATGTAGGGTGGACGTAAGGAGCCCAGTAGGGGACTATGGAGAAGTAGGAAGGAGGCAGAGAAGAGTAGGTGATAGATGAGTCATGATGAAAGGGAGGCTGAGGAGAGCAGGTGGGCGGAACCCTTGTGGGTGCTGTGAGCTGGGAGTTAAACCTTTCTAGGAAGGGTGTTTCCCCTGCATAGGAGGACTTCCTGCCTTTGTCCTGGTTGTCTCTCTCTGGGTAGTAAGGGAGGTAAGCTTTGCTGGATCCTAAGCCCTGATGGGCAGGAAGGAGAGGCGTGGCGTCTGGGACTGGAACTCCTGGTTCTCTTGGAGGGGCTCCTTCGGAGGAGGAGGAAGCAGCGGCAGCGACCCAGCTGTTGCCAGCTGCAGTGGAAATTCTGAGCTCAAGTCTCCGGCTGCTCAGACCACAGCATGCTCCACCCTGGGGCCTTGACAGGGATAGCAGCATGTGTGTCCTCTGGCCTGCAGTCTCGCACATCCTTTCCTTGCCTAAATTTGGGGAAGAATCCAAGTATGTAGCTCTGAAGCACTAGGATCGCCACGTCCATCCTCATCCCCATTTTAGTGTGTTCTTTTCCCAGCCTCGAGGGTGTTGCTTGGCTTATTCTGTCTAATCCATTGGGTCACAGAAGCCCCACTAAAAAAGTCATTGAGAGGCCGCCAAGGAGCGAAACAAATACATCAATCATCATATGTTCTTTAGGGACAAGAGGAGAGGTAGAAAAAAATGCTTTTTTGAGGTATTGGTCTCAAATTCAGTCCCTGCCAACTATTTTCAGTTAAATCTTGTACTTCTTACTTTGTTAGTGATCTCTGTTCTGTCTCTTTAATGTTTTTTACCCTCCCAGAGTGGAATGTAGAGGCTGCGTTCTAGTGGAACACTTCTAATGTAACCCCCGACCTCTGATACTCCACTGCTCAAGTTTGAGGAACTCCACATGACTCTGCTGCCAAAGTATAATTTTCAAAAAGTTGAAGAACATGACTGTCATACAAATATAGGTGAACACACGCCAAAGATTTATTTTACTCATTAATGAGGGAACCAGCAGGATGGTAAAATGCGTTCAAAGAGCGTGTGAGGGACTGAGTATTTTTAGGTCCTGAAAAGAATGTTGGGATAAGATTGCTAGGTTTCATACAAAGCTGGTTCATATCCTACAAGACAATAAAACAGTAACCTTTGGGATTATCTTTTCTAGTGGACAGAAATTATTTGCATTTCTACTAGATAAAAATCTACAAGTTAATATGTATCTTCACAAAGTCTGGGCCCTAATCAGTAGTAAATAGTAAGTCAAACGAAGAAACATCCCTCTAGATAATGAAATATACCTTGAATGAGCCTTTTAGACAATGTTCCAGAATGATATCAAAAGGATATGCAATCCTTATTTTGCCTTATCCTCAAGTTTTGGATAGTTTTCTTAGCACTGCTGTTGCACCTGGTCTTATGCCCCCTCCCCTCCCTAACACACTCAAATCTTGACAGTGAGAAATAGAGTACAGTAAAGCAGGAGAGAGAACCATTTGCAGTAGATTAAAGTTGAGGTCCTTTGAATATAATAATAATAATAGCAGTTAAGAATTTTCAGATGTTTACCGTGTGGTAGACATTAGTGCTTTATAGTCATAAACTCATTTCGTATTCCCAACAACCCTATCTTCATTTTACAGATGGTAAGACTGAGGCACGGAAAGGTAAAATGACTTGTCCAAGATCACACATAGCTATGGAGTGGCAGAATGGGATTTGAACAAAAGCAATTTGGCTCAGGTTGGCCTTCTATTAGGGGGCCAGGAGAGGGGCTGGGAATGGGGTGTCAGAGAAGAGAAATGTCTATAGATTTTTCATAAGAGGAATGGTGTTTGTCCAAAAAAAGATAAGTAATATCAAGGATTATTTTTAGTCCTCAAGGAATTCCAGCCAGAGCTCTGCACTTACACACTCTGCTATGTGGACATCGCTAAGCTTCTTTCCCAAAAAGACAGTAGTCTCTTTCTAGCTAGTGTCTGAGTCTTAGCTGGGAAAGAAGAGAGAAATGTGTTGGTATTGTGATGGCTACAGTTCCCTTATTTCTTGTAGGCACCTTTGGGGAATAGGTTTATAAGATAAGCATGACATTTTAAATTCATTTCTTCTTTGTTTTTATTAAGGTTTGAGTAGGAACAGTTGTCTTAGTGGGAGTGGAGAAAGGGCATGGATTCATCCAGATGTCTCAGTCTCTGTCCTATTCTAAATCCCTTACCCCAGATTATCACTTTGCATTTTCTTCTCCCTTAGATATGGCAAGATTGTCTCCACTAAGGCCATACTGGACAAGACCACAAACAAGTGCAAAGGTGAGAGAACAGCTGTCCTTGGTGATGGAGCAGCTGTGCATGAGGCCATCTCTTGCCTCTGTCCTTTACTGCTGCGAGTCCCTAGTATCACGTGGTTTTCACGTGATACTAAGGTGGTTTCACCTTAGTATCACTAAGGTTTTCAGGCTTAATCTTAAAAGACTAAGATATTTAGATTCTTTGGTGACCAGCTAGCTAGAGCTGAAAATGCTGTTTTTGGGGACCCAAGGTTAGAAGCCTGCACAGAGTGCCTTTGAGTCCCCTGGGCTTACTTTGGACCTCATGCTTCCCTGGATTGAATGGTGGATATGGGTAGCTGAGGTTATTTCTAGCAAAGCCTTGTAAATACCTTTTGGTGTGTGTGGGTGACTTGGTAGGTATTATTTTGTGAGGATGAATATTTTGTTGGGGTTTTGAGCAGTTCTAGGTGGGGATGCAAGAGTGGAAGGAGAGAAAGGGCTGTAGTTGGGGTGGGGAGAGACTTCTTCCAGCAGGTGGCTGGTTATCTGCAGTGGAGAGACTGTATTCCCTACTTGCCTAGCATTTCTAGGGTGTGGCTTGAAAAGACACAGGGGTTCTTTTAGAAGTGGGGGGGTGCATGTGGATTGTTAGAAGAGCCTATTTCCCAAAACCTCAGATTTCTTAAGGGGGAGGAAGAAGGGCAAGGACACCACAAGGACCTCATTGCCCTTGGCATTCTCAGCTGTGAAGCAGACCAAATTTCACAGGGTTTGAGGATAACCACCTGAAACCTTTTAATTTCTCTTTCTCCCTACCGCTTCTGTTGCTTGGATCATAACTCTTCCTCTGTCTCCTGAAAAGCCTGGGTCTCCTATCTCCCTTACACCGCCCACCTCCCAGTGATGCTGTTTCCCTGTTCCAGGCTATGGCTTTGTGGACTTTGATAGTCCTTCAGCAGCACAGAAGGCTGTGACAGCACTGAAAGCCAGCGGTGTGCAGGCACAGATGGCAAAGGTAAGGGCGCTCCCCCATGTCTGTTCCTTTGAGAGGTGTAGTTACCACCAAAGGTCCAGTTCCAAGGCTCCAGGGGGTTGAAGAACCATGAAGTTGATAGAAGACCTGTCTGCAGTAGTTTTTGACTCTATCTGGCCAAAGGCAGTCTGGGCCAGGGTCCCACTGAGCACTCTTGTCTGCTAGAGGAAGATGGTACTCAAATCTCAGCAGGTAGCTCTGTCAGCTCAGTTCCTCTCATCAAGTGTTATAAGCAGGCAAGAGGGTCAGGAGGCTTCTTCTCTTCCTCCTGCTGTTTCCTCATCTCCACCCTGGCCCCACTTCCCTACCAGACAGCTTGGGGTAGTTTTGCAACATTCTCTGAAGAAGCCAGTTGTGCAACTCAGAAGTTTAGAGCAATGCTCTCCACCTCCCAACACCGTTCTCTGTGTGTGAGGTGTTGGGGAGAGGGAGGCCACAGTAAGGAAGGAAACTGTCCCTCCTTCTCAGATCTGTCTGAGAACTAGAGGCTCTTCTCTCTCCTCTTCTCTTAGGTGGGATTGCCCCCTTGCCTCTCTGAAGTCATTGTGAATACTCTCTGTGGAGCTGATGGGGCAGGCCTGCCAGCTACCCTTTTCTGTAATGGTTAAAGAAAAAGGAAACCCTGAAGGGAAAGGCAGAAGAGGGATTAAGGTTGCTGGTGACCCACTGTCTAGGGCAGAGTGACTGCTTAAGTTCTTAAAAATACAGCTGTGGGAGGTTAACTGCCATTTTGCACATTCTGCCCACTGGAAGGGCTCTCCCACCTCTTCTTTCTGGAGAAAAGTCCTCTGACAGTGGAGTTTAGGAGCCTTCAGAGTTCCTGTGAGACTGGAGTTTTCAGGGCTCCATGGTGACCCAGTGAGCTACACATCTGGCCCTTAGTGCAGCCCCCAGCACGTTGCCTTCCCTTTCCCCTCGTCTCCTCTTCCTGCTTTCCCTCCACTGGAGAGTGAACAGCATTCCTACTCAGAGGAGTCTGCTGTGGCCGGAAGAGGGGGGAGGGGGGATTACTCAAAACAATCCAGCCGGGGAGCAAGGCAGTCCAAGAGAATCCAGCCCTGGGACAGGCTGTTGGCAGGCGGAGGGGAGTGCTGCTCTGCCTAGTTCTTAAAGAGACAGCCAAAGCTTCATCGATGACTTGTATTACGGGCTTGTACAGTACTGGAAATATTAAATCTGCTTTTTTTTTGCCTGGACTCAATATACAATCCATGGTAGTGGACCTAGTTGTTACAAATCGTTGTTAAGATTCTCTTTGTTCATGTGGCACCCTTCCTACTATCTCTTTCCTGAGATGTCATTTTGTGGATGAGGGCTGATGGTGGGAGAGGGATAAGAGATATAAGCTTTATTTTCTCACATTTATTTCCATAGCAACAGGAGCAGGACCCCACAAATTTGTACATATCAAACCTCCCACTGTCTATGGATGAGCAAGAACTGGAGGGGATGCTGAAGCCCTTTGGCCAGGTTATCTCCACTCGAATCCTTCGAGACACCAGTGGGACCAGCAGAGGGGTTGGCTTTGCAAGGTGAGAGATGCCAAGAATGGGAAATGATGAGGTTAATAAAGAATGTCACTTAGAAGGTCACCAAAAAATCTGTGCCCCCTCTCCCAAGGAACCAAACTATTGGCCAAAAGTACTTGACAGTAATCAAAATTTCATTTAATATAGGTCACAATACTCACAAGCCCGTTTGCCCCCAGTTCTTTATCCTTTCCCTACTACTTCCTGCTACGCTAGCCTTTGTTCCGTTGATCCAGACCCAACCAGAATAAAATAATTTGGTATATTCTTATAGTTTACTGAGTAGTTTCACATCCTATTATCTCATTTAATCTTTATAGCAACCCTGTGAAATAAATATTAATTCTCCATTGTATAGATAAGGAAACCAAAGTCTCCAATATGAGGTGATTTGCCCAAGGTCTCACAGGAGTGGGTGGTGGAGCACAGCCCTAATCCTTCTGGCGTCAAGATCAGTAGGATGAAGTGGAAGATTCGGTCTACTTTTTCAGATCTGTTCAGAGACTTGGATTCTAGAACCAACTCTGCCACTAACTGCCCCTGTGGTGTCAGACCTTTGGGAGCTTTAGTTCACTCTGAAGTGGAGGTTGCTTTAGATGAGGGGTTTTCTTCAGGTGTTCCCTAGAGCCGCGGAGTTCTCCAGGCGCCCTCTTCTGAGCTTAGGTGTCATTGTTGTAGCCTCCCCTAAGCCCACTTAAGAAATGGTTCTGCTTTTATTTACTTTAAGATTTTGTTTGAAAGGAGATTCTGTTGCTTTTTTAAAAAGTTTGAAATCTACTGGACTAAGTGATCTGAAGGTACCTTTGTGTTTTATAATGTCTTGTCTGGTCCAGGAACACTACCTTCCTGTGGAGTGTTTCAGGCCTTGGGAACAAGGAAGAAATGGGGCCTCTTCCCTAGCCAACTCTTTCTTGGTGGCACCACCTGCTGGCAATCCCAAGTATAATTAAGGGGGAGTTCCTAGGCTGTGGTCATCAAACTTTTTTTGCTCCCCTACTCTCTTAGAGCAGAGGTTCCCAAACTTTTTCAGTTCATGGCACCTTAGTTGTCTCAATAATTTTTTTCTCTATACCAAAAGAAATACTTACCAGGTCAATTTATTAAGTAATGAAATGGTCTAAACAACTCAAAACGTGTTTATGTCTTTGTAACGATTTTGTAGCTATTTGAAAAAATATATTGAAAGAGAAAATATTTTTATTTAATTCTTACATCGCGGGCCGGCCCCGTGGCTTAGTGGTTAAGTGCGTGCGCTCCGCTGCTGGCGGCCCGGTTTCGGAACCCCGGGCGCGCACCGACGCACCGCTTCTCCGGCCATGCTGAGGCCGCGTCCCACATACAGCAACTAGAAGGATGTGCAACTATGACATACAACTATCTACTGGGGCTTTGGGGGAAAAAATAAATAAATAAAATTATTAAAAAAAAAAAAATTCTTACATCGCTATACTTACTAATGGGATGTGCACTTGCTGGACACTGCACAACTTCTCAAACCTTGGACTCAGATTGGACACTTGCACCCTCATTTTCTCTTGTACATTGGTTTTCATAATTATGGTACTTGCTTTTGTCATAGCAACAGTTGAAAAACCAGCTTTGCAAAACTACGTTATCAGAAGGATTGTAGGGTGATCTAATGTTGAAATGGTGAGCTATTTAGAGTTGGTAGCCCATACAGTATCCACCAGGTGTTGCTGTATTTCCTCCCTGAGCTCACCACAGTGGCCCAGGGTGCCTCAGAGCCCAGTCTGGAAACTGTGGCTTTTAAGACTTGAAAAACTATGAAATCTCTTGCATGTTTCTGTGTTAATATGTACAAATTTTCTTCATACATTTAGATTCTGCAAAGTATAATTCCCGGAAAATTATAAATATTGACCCTTTAAATAAAACTGTCATATCATTTTTAAATATATCCAAATGAGATCTAGAGCATAGATGTCATAGCAGGGTTTTTTTGTGTGTGTGTGGAAGATTAGCCCTGAGCTAACATCCATGCTAATCCTCGTCTTTTTGCTGAGGAAGACCAGCTCTGGCTCTATTGCCAATCCTCCTCCTTTTTTTCCCCAAAGCCCCAGTAGATAGCTGTATGTCATAGTTCCACATCCTTCTAGTTGCTGTATGTGGGACGCAGCCTCAGCATGGCCAGAGAAGCAGTGCGTCGGTGCACGCCTGGGATCCGAACCCGGGCCGCCAGTAGCAGAGTACGCACACTTAACCGCTAAGCCACGGGGCCAGCCCCTCGTAGCAGTTTAATACACAAAATCATCCATGTCAAAAATACATGGGGCATTTCTTTTTTAATAGTCATACCTCTCATATCATTCTTACAGTGTTCCTTTTTTTCTTCTTGATCTTATATTTCCATTCAATTTCCCTACAGAATTGTATTCTAGTGTAAAATATTTTTATAGTTGAAAGTCTTTTTTTTTTTTTGGTGGGGAAGATCAGCCCTGAGCTAACATCTGTTGCTAATCCTCCTCTTTTTGCTGAGGAAGATTGGCCCTGAGCTGACATCTGTGCCCATCTTCCCCTACTTTATATGAGGGACGCTGCCACAGCATGGCTTGATAAGCAGTGCATATCTGAACCTGCAAATCCCAGGCCACCAAAGCGGAGTGTGCAAACATAACCACTACACCACTGGGCCAGCTCTGAAAGTCTTTTTGTGGATCATTCTGTCATACTTCACTGCAACAAAAATATGTAATTAATTTTTTTCCTGTGGCCGTGAGGGCTATATGTATTAACCCATAAGAATTATCTTTATAATTATTAGTTCACAGTTTCCTCAGACAGCATAAATATATTAAAATGTTGATACAAAATTATTTTATTTTATTTTTATTTTTTGTGAGGAAGATCAGCCCTGAGCTAACATCTGTCACTAATCCTCCTCTTTTTTGTTGAGGAAAATTGGCCCTGGGCTAACATCCGTGCCCATCTTCCTCTACTTTATATGGGATGCGGCCACAGCATGGCTTGACAAGCAGTGCGTCGGTGCGTGCCCAGGATCTGAACCTGCGAACCATGGGCCGCTGAGGTGGAGTGTGCACACTTAACTGCTGTGCCACCGGGCGGCCCAATACAAAATTATTTTATATAAAGTAAATTTTATTGGAAATGCTTCTGTGACATGGATAAGTTTTATTTTGTTTAGATTTTTCTAATTAGGTCATGTAGCCATCAGTGAATATGTTGACGGCTATAATAAGATGGGGTTTAATATCGGTTCTATTCCTGTTTTTTGTTTTCACTCTGAGAAACCTTGTTTACATAAATAAGTAAATGGGAATGGAGTTTTGTTAAAATAGGAATTCTTTGAATTCCTTCTGAATTATATGCCAAGAACCAGGGTGATCTGTTACCAAAACTGATTTTTTTATGTGTCAGTTGACAACTTGCTGCATCCTTCAGCTTTGTTGGAAGGAAAAATTGGTAACATCTGACTTAGAAAAAGATTTGTAACTCAGTCATCAAATGCCTCATGTTGAGTTTTGGGATGAGTGTGAAGTAAATTGAGAGGAGTGGTTGTGAGAGAGGACTTGAGCCTTGATCATTAAGTGATCATGAGCTCTCTTACAGGAAGATCAGTTTTAGGAAAGAGTTTATGAGGAAGTTGAGGTTCTGAAAGCCATTCTTTTAAAACTCTCCATGCCTGCTCACCCTTTGAAAGACTAAGGAGTGGGAGTAACCCAACTAAAGACTACCGCTCTAGGATACCTAATGTAGTTTCTCTTAAGGGTTCCGTTTGAGTCCTTGTTTTAGTGACCGCCTTCATAGGAATGGTTCATATTTTTAGTGGTTATTGGCATGGAAAATAGTCTAAGACTTACTTTAAATATGGAAAGAGAGGAAGATACCGTACCTTGTATTAAATAGGCCTTTATAATTTTTAGAACACATTTATATACATTATCTCATTTGGTCTGTAGAACCCTGTGTAGTAGGGTAGGGGGATATTATCTCTAAAGCAGAAATGAGGAATGGGTTCAAAGGGTTTTTATGCATGTCCTAACTCACAGAGCTTTGGGTGGTGAACTGGTGCTGGAATCTAGATTTTCTGATTCCTTACTCAGTCCTCTTTCCCCAACAAGATACTTTAACTCAGTAGTTCCCAACATTGTTTTTTCTATCACTATGGACCATAAACCCTGTCTTACTACTCTTTCCTCCTACAGATGCGTGAAATCTTAATGATGTTATCAGTAGCTAGTTAAACCTTGGTAGTTATAACCAGAAGCACAAAATAAATATTGGCATATTCTTAGCTTGTGCAGTTTTATCAGACTGAGAGAACAATTTCCATTAGGAATTTTGTAATAAAAACTAATGGTAACAGCCACTATTTATTGTATTCTTATTTATGAACCAGACACAATACTAGGCCCATCCATCAGTATCTTCTTTGGAATATTCATATCTTGAAGATCTCCATTAATCCTTTCAGGACCCCTACAGGAGCCAGTTAAGAGAACCTTCATTAGAAGCTGGGGTTGCCTCTTCTAGATTTGTGTGGAAGAAACTGTTTCTATAGTCACAACTTTTGGAGCATTTGTGGGGCTGGGAACTTAGAGCTTTCTCTTTGAATGTAGGGAGAGCATAGATCCTGGAGAAGCTAGAGCCTAACCCCTCTTGTGCTCCTTAGGATGGAGTCCACAGAGAAGTGTGAAGCCATCATCACCCACTTTAATGGAAAATATATTAAGACACCCCCTGGAGTACCAGGTGAGGCATCTGGGAATCAGGCTGAGAGGGCCACAGGTTGTTACTTCCAGTGAAGATTCTGGAGGAGTTTTGCATGAGTGTGAGTGGGCTAAGTGAGGTGGGACTCAGCTGCCTGTCTTCTTTCTCTCTTGGCAGCCCCATCTGATCCTTTGCTTTGCAAATTTGCTGATGGTGGTCCAAAGAAACGACAGAACCAAGGAAAATTTGTGCAAAATGGACGTGCCTGGCCAAGGAATGGAGACATGGTAAGAGGACCTCTGAGGATACAGGAGTACTAAGAACATTAAAGTGAAATGGAAATTACCATGGCCTGATTTCTGTGAGCTTAGTTGGCAAGCTTGAGAGCTACAGTATGTAACTGAGAGATGCTGGCTGCTTACCATGCTCTTCACTGTGGGTCTTGAGTGGGATTTTACAACCAGAAAAACTCTGGAGCTGTAGTGGGACATGTCCAGACTTCACTTTAATCAGTTGAGCCAAATACATCCCAGCCTTGACGTTCTGGACTTGCTCCTGTTTTCACCCAAGTGCTCACAATTTGAACACTGTGTTCTTTATTTATAGGGTGGTATGGCCTTGACCTATGACCCCACCACAGCTCTTCAGAACGGGTAAGCGTGTTTTATATAATCAGGCCACCTGAAAATGACAATAGCCTGTGTCCGGACACTCTGATATTTCATCTTGATTTTTTTTTCTTTAATTTTTTTGCTGAGGAAGATTCGCCCTAAGCCAACATCTCTTGCCCATCTTCCTCTTTTTGCTTGAGGAAGATTTGCCCTGAGCTAACATCTGTGCCAGTCCTCCTCCATTTTGCACGTGGGTCTCCACCACAGCATGGCTGCCGATGAGTGCTGTGGGTCCGCACCCAGGAACTGAACCCAGGCCGCCAAAGTAGAGCATGCCCAACTCAACCACTAGACCATGGGGCCGGCCCTCTTCTTGATTTTTAAACAGTAGTTAGTGGGAAGTTGCTGTGTCTATCAGTGAGGGCTCTTACCTTCTTGGTTTCCTGTGACTTTTTATTGATGAGTTTCCTTCCTACAGGTTTTACCCAGCTCCTTATAACATCACCTCCAACAGGATGCTTGCTCAGTCTGCACTCTCCCCATATATTCCATCTCCTGTGTCTTCATATCAGGTATGTGTATGCCCAAAAAAGAGTGTGCTAATTTTCCCTATCATAGTGTTTTAGATGAAGGAGTTTAGGCTGGAAACTACTTGTTGTTTTTGCTTTTTCCTTTATACATATTACACACAAATAATTTTATGTAAAAGCATAACCTGTGATCACATTATGTATATATAGACTGTTGTAGTAGCATCCTCTTACTCTCTGTCCACCACCTGATAAGTAAACCCATGTTAATTTCCTACTATTTTCCATATTTTTCTTCATGTGCATATACACATATGTATAGTGTTTTGAAAGTCATTGTTTATTTTACAAAAATTAGACCATGTTAAATATATTTTTTACATTTTACTCTTCTCACTTAAAAGTAAACCAGTGATTCTCAAAGTGTGGTCCCAGGACCAGCAATATCAGCATCATCTGGGAATTTTAGGAACACAAATTCTTGGACTCCATCCCAGATCTACTGAATTAGAAACTCTGGGGATGGGTCCTAGCAATCTAAGTTTTAACAGCCCCTTCAGGTGATTCTGCTGCAGGTAATGTTGAGATCCTGTGTTCTAACTATTTCTTTTTTTAATAAGTTGCATTATATTTCATGCTGCAGATATATAAGAATTCTCCAGCTATTCCCCAGTGAAGGGCATTCACTTGGATTTCAGTTCTTTTCTCGTCCAGATAATGCTCCAGTAAACATCCTTGTGCCTATATCCTTACATGCAAGTGCTTTTATTTCTGGGGGCTGGAGTCTGAGGAGTGGAATTGCTAGGTTGAATAATATATGACCTTTCAGTTTTACAGATGTTGCCAGATTGCTTTCCGCAAAGGCTGTGTCAATCACATATCCACTAGCAACGTATGAGAGTACGCAACTCCCTCCAGCTGTAGATGATATTGCTCTTTTTAAATTTTTCCTATCTTGATGGATATAAAGTGCAGTGTTACCTTAATTTGTGCTTCTCTGACTGCAGCTAAGTTTAAGCATTTTTTTTTAATGTCTGTTATATTTTGATTTGCTCTTTATACGCTTGGTCCATTTTTCTGTCTGGTTATTTTTTTTCTATCAACTTAAAAAACTATTTGTATATTATAAGTATTAATCCTCTGAATGTTATCTTTGTTACAAGTATTTTGTTCCAAATTTAACTTTTTTTATAATTTTATTTATTTATTTATTTCCCCCCAAAGCCCCAGTAGATAGTTGTATGTCATAGCTGCACATCCTTCTAGTTGCTGTATGTGGGACGCGGCCTCAGCATGGCTGGAGAAGCGGTACGTCGGCGCGTGCCCGGGATCCGAACCCGGGCCGCCAGCAGCAGAGCGCGCGCACTTAACCGCTAAGCCACGGGGCCGGCCCCAAAATTTAACTTTTGTCCATTGACTTTGTGGTCTTCAAACCAGCTATGCATCAGAATCACTTGGAGTGCTTATTAAGCCTAGGTTGCTGGGCACCTTAACAAGAATTTCTGATTCGGTAAGTCTAGGGTGGGAGGCAAGAATGTGTATTTTTAACAAGTTCCCAGATGCTGCTCCTGCTGCTACTGCTGCTGGTAAAGTTTAAAATTTATATAGAGTTAAATATGTCTGCTTTTTCACTCATAGCTTTTGACTTTCTTAATTAAAAAGCTCTTCCCAGGGGCCGGCCCGGTGGTGTAGTGGTTAAGTTTGCGCACTCTGCTTCTGCTGCCTGGGGTTCGCGGGTTCGGATCCCGGGCACAGACTTATGCACCACTCATCAAGCCATGCTGTGGTGGTGTCCCACATACAAAGTAGAGGAAGATGGGCACAGCTGTTAGCTCAGGGCCAATCTTCCTCAGCAAAAAGAGGAGGATTGGCAACGGATGTTAGCTCAGGGGCCAATCTTCTTCACCAAAAAAAAAAAAAAATCTCTCCAATCCCCATATTGCACATATGGTCTCTAAGATTTATTTCATTTTTTTACATTTAAGTGTGTAATCATCAGGAATTTATTTATTTATTTATTTATTTTTTGTGAGGAGATCAGCCCTGTGCTAACATCTGCCAATCCTCCTCTTTTATTTTTTGCTGAGGAAGACTGGCCCTGGGCTAACATCCATGCCCATCTTCCTCCACTTTATATGGGACGCCTGCCACACCATGGCTTGCCAGGCAGTGCATTGGTGCACGCCCGGGATCTGAACCGGCGAACCCCGGGCCGCCAGAGAGGAACGCGCGCACTTAACTGCTTGCGCCACCGGGCCGGCCCAGGAATTTCTTTTTGTATATGGCATAAGTTAGGGGTCCTTTTGTATTTTCTTTAACAATGTTAACCAGTTGTCCTAGCACCAGATTATTAAATAATCCATCCTTTCCCCAATTGAAATGCCACCTTTGTCATATAATAAATACTGGGATTTAGTTCTGTATTCTTTATTCTCTTCCAATGATATTGTGTCTGTTCCTATTCCAATAATGTATTGATTTGATCACATTGACTTTTGTAATATGTTCTAATATTTGATAAGACAAAGCCCTCTTCTCCACTCTTTCATATTTTTCTTTGCTATTTTTTGGCATTTATTCTTCTGTATTAAGTTTATTTTAATCTAATTTTTTAAAATTTGCAAGGATTTTAATAGGAATTACATTAAATCTATGTATTAAACAGAATTGACTTTTTAAAAAAGCATTAAGTCTTTTCACCCAAGGTATGGTATTTCTTTTCATGTTTTCAAATCTTTATGTCCTTCAGTAAGATTTTAGTTTTGTTTATGTAGGTCTAACACTTTTCTTGTTAAATATATTCCTAAGTTTCTGTAATTTTTATAAGCATTTCTATATGCTTATTGATACATGGAAGGAAAGCTGTTGACTTGTGTTCATCTCTCTTGTATACAGCTAAGTCACCAAATCCTCTTAGTACTACTAGAGTTTTTTTACTTGAATCTCTCAGGTTTTTTAGGTATTCAATTATATCATCAGTGCAAAATAAAGGTTTTCTCTTCCTTTCCATTTTATGGCAATTGTGTTCTTATCTAATTGCATTTGACCTTACTATAAGATAGGTTACTATAATTGCAGTGGTTTTAATATTTCTCTATTAGGTTAATATTAGTGGCTAGTTTTTGGTAATAGCCTTTAATATTTGTAAGTAGTTTCTTTGTAGTCTCTATTTGACTTTGTGATTTTTTTTTAAATAAATGGCTGCTGAATTTTCTCAAATGTCTTTTCAGCATCTAATATTACACTATGGTTTTTTCCTTCAGTTTTGACTTATATTTATACAGTTTCTGATCTTGAACAATCCTTACATTCATGGAATAAACCCTACTTGTGATTCATTTCTAGCTTCTCATTGCTAATTTTTTTTGTATTTTAAAATTGAGATATAATTCACATACCATAAAATTCTCTTTATTCTTTTAAAGTGTACAAGTCAGTAGTTTTTAGTATATTTACAAAGTTATGCAACTATCACCACTGTCTAATTCCAGAACATTTCATCACCTCAGAAAGAAACTCTGTACCCATTAGTAGTCATTCCCCATTTTCCCCTACCCCTAGGCAACCACACACTTTCTGTGTCTATAGATTTGCCTATTCTGGACAATTTCATATAAATGGAAGCACACAATATATGTCTTTTGTGTCTGGCTTCTTTCACTTAGCATGTTTTCAAGGTTTGTTCATGTTGTAGCATGTATCAGTACTTTCTTTTTTCATGATTGAATTATATTCCATTGTATGGATATACTACATTTTGTTATCCATTTATCAGTTGATGGCCATTTGAGTTGTTTCCACCTTTTGGCTATTATGAATAATACTGCTATGAACATTTGTGTACAATTATTGTGTGGACATGTTTTCATTTCTCTTGGCTATATACCTATGAGTGGAATTGCTGAGTTACATAGTACCTCTATGTTTAACTTTTTGAGGAACTGCCAAACTATTTTCTAAAGCCGTGGCACCATTTTACATTCCCTTCCACAGTGTATAACACTTGTTATTCTGTCCTTTTAATTATAGCCATCCTAGTGGGTGTGAAGTGGTATCTCATTGTGTTTTGATTTACATTTCCCTCGTGAGTAATGGTGTTGAGACTCTTTCATGTGCTTAGTGGCCATTTGTGTATCTTCTTAGAGAAATATCTATTCAAGTTCCTTGCCCGTTTTTAAATTGTGTTATTTGTTGAGGTGTAAGAGTTGCTAATCTTTTTTAAAGAGTTAATGTTTCTATTTTCTGAGAGGGCACTTCCACTTTTTCTGAGTTTTGCTGAACATTGTCGGAACATTGGGTGAAACATAGTTTCTAGACAATTAACGTTTTTGTTTTTGTTTGCATTAGAGAGTAACTCAGACATCTCCTCTACAAGTACCTAACCCGTCTTGGATGCATCACCAGTCATACCTCATGCAGCCTTCAGTGAGTGTTCAGAAGTGGGCAAAAGCCAAAGAGGCAATTTGATGTAAAGAAAAACAACGGGATTTGATGACAGGAGATGTGGGTGTGAGTTTTGGCCCAGTCTCTTACGCAGCCCAGGTGTATGACCTTAAATTCTGTGAGTTTGTTGTTCTGAGAGAAGGATCCCTCCAGACTGATGGGCAGAGTGCCTATTCCTGTTGCATAGTTGGGTTACTGCTCACCTATCATTTCCAAGGATTTTGAAATGTCTGTCGTGGTAGCTATGAATCACTGCTTCAGGCAGCCTCACAGGATGCTGCCAACTAACCCTGTCCTTTGTTGCTTCCTCTAGGGTTCAGTTCTGACGCCAGGGATGGATCACCCCATTTCTCTCCAGCCTGCCTCCATGATGGGACCTCTTACCCAGCAATTGGGCCACCTCTCCCTCAGCAGCACAGGCACGGTAAAGCAGGATATTTTTGATTATCAACTCCTACCGAGGAAGGAATACCTTTGTAAAATTCTTCAGCTGTAAATACTTATGAATGAGGTTGGGAATCACTTCAGCATCATTGAAGGCACACTCAGAATGGGAGAGAAACTAAAAAGTAATCCATGAGCCAGGAATACAGCCATTCTGCTCCCCAGCCCACTGCTTTTAACTGGTTCCTACTCATGAAACTAAACAAATAGTGTTTCTGTCTACATATTAGTTTATCTAGGAGTTCATACACATTTCCTAGAAATCCTTATCAAAACAGTAACAAGAAGAATAGATGAAGCTCATTGGGTTTCTTGTAGGTCTGCCGCATTCTGATTTGCACAGGAGGGCTTAAAGGCAGACAAGGCAGTGCACTGAGGAAAAGCAGAAGACAGTATGGAAAGAGGAGGAAAGGAAGTCATGTAGGTAGAAGTCTCTCTAAGCCAGTGTACTTTAGAACCACCTGAAGTGCTTTTAAAAAGCACAATTAAATTAGACAATTAAACTAGAATCTCTGGAGATGGAACACAGGCATCAGGATTTTTTAAAGTTCCCCAGGTGCTTTAAATGTAGCCAAGGACCACTGCTGTCAGCTCACTGATGTTTCTTGTGCTAGTATATGCCAACAGCTGCAGCTGTGCAAGGAGCTTACGTTTCCCAGTTCACCCCTGTGCCTTCTTCCAGTGTTTCAGTTGAGGTAAGAGCCTTATAATCGCTTTGGATTGAGAGTAGGAAAATGAACAGAGGCAGATTTTCCCCCGATCAAGATCTTCCTCTCACAGGGATGCTGATTCTGTGGTCACAAATAGCTGGTAGGTATGTGAAGAATGTAGGAAAGAAAGACTTCATCTGTGTCCTTGAATGAGGCCCTTCCTCACGTTTGGCCAGATAGTAGTTAATACCAGGATGCTGTGTGTGTTGACTAGTGTGTCTTGGGAAGAGGATAGGCCGCTCTAAATGTGGGGGAAGTAATGCTGTGTGTGCGCGCACATGTGTGCGTGTGTGTGTGGGAGTGCGTAGGTCAGGGAGGGCACTCAACTCTGGGAGGGTTTTAGCTAGGCTGCTTCAGTGGGAGGTGAGGAAAGGAATGCACCAGGTGACTGTCCCCCTTGGCTGTGGTTCAGGAGAGCAGTGGCCAGCAAAATCAAGTGACGGTGGATGCTCCCTCAGACCATGGGGTCTATTCTTTCCAGTTCAACAAATAACAGCGGTAAGAACCACACGCTGAGGGGCGGGGTGTGCTGAGCAGCCTGAAGTCAGACAGGTTCTCATATTTGTCATCTCCCCTTCCTACCCTCTCTGGCTTATGCCTCCTTTAGGACTCCCTCCCATCTTTGTTGAATACAAATGAATTCTTGGAGACGCTGATGTTCCCAGACTCCAGAGGGCTAACCCGGAATACAGACCATCTGTGGGCTCTACTAAGGACTGACGCTTGGCCATGATTTTTCACAGGCCTGGGCCTAGAAAAAGGAATCTCTGCACTCCTGCCCTCTGCTGTTCTCCATCCCTAACGGAGCGGGGGGACCGTCACTTTCTGTGTGTGCTAGCTTCAAGGAGATCAAAAACACTTTTTTTCTTTCTTTTGAAAAGAAAATTTTATGTTTTTTTTGTTTTTTTTGTTTTTTAACAGCAATATATACCCCAAAGAGATATGGTGGCTGGAGCTTCTTCTTAACAGTTTTTAATGTGTTGGACTTATTTGGGGAGGCTTTAAAAAAATTTGTTATAAAAATTTCATAAATTCTCCTCTTAAAAAAAAAAGAAAAAGAAAGGTGTGGTGCTAGAATACGGATGAAGGAGTCTGACTGTGGGCCCTTCTTACTGAATTTAGTTATGGACCTTTTTGGTGTGTGTGTAAGAAAATATGCAGACTTTTGAAATTTTGTTTTATAAAGCTCTTGACTCACATCTCCCATCTCTTCTTCACATATTTTATGCCTTCTTTGTCTCATCCAGATTGTTCTTTTTCTCGTTTCCATACAGTAGAGCCTGCATACTTTGCCTTTTTACAATTTTTAATTTTCTGAAATTTTTTTGGAATGAAATTTCCTATGGAATTTTTGGGGACTGGGCAAGGAACAGGTAGAACATGAAGCAGGCAGTGGAAGTCGCTTTTCCTCCCTCTGCCCCGCCACATCCTGGGAGAAAAGACTAGACTTCACCTTCAGGAAGCAGAGATGTGACCCAGGCTTATTAGAGACAATCCCACATCCTTTGGAAGCCATCCTTGAGCCAAAATTGGATGAAGAGTAGGTCTTCTTTGGCAAGTTCCAGAAGGGTGGACTTACTGACTTCTAATTCTTCTCACGGCCAAGGCCAACGCACTCTTGAGGAAGAATCTTCTCCCGCTACAGCTTTTCAGGAACACGTGTTTTCCTGCTTCCTGGAGGACCTTCTTTTTTGCCCTGGGTCTCAGACCCTTCTCCTCCCCATCGCACATTACTGTACTCAGAGCCTTTCCAGTTGTGACCTTGCCGAATCCACTTAGGCTTCTTCCCCACTGTGGAAGGTCAGCTGCTTCACCTCTAGACCAGTGGTTCTCAAGGAGGTGGTTTTGTCCCCTGGAGGCCATTGACAATCTCTGGAGACATTTCTGATTGTCATGCCTGGGAGTGGGGGCTGTGTGCTACTGGCAGCTAGTGGCTAGAGACCAGGGATGCTGCTAAAGATCCTACAGTGCACAGGACAGCCCCAACTCCCCCAGCAAAGAATTATGTGGCTCAAAATGTCAGTAGTGCCAAGATTGAAAAACCTGGGTATAGAAGGTGTCCGTCGCTCCTGTAGCAGATCACTTGGTAAATTCCCACCCCAACCGTGGACACACAGTGCCTTTTGACAGTCATGCAACTAGAGGGTCCTTGAATTTTCCCTAGGCTTTGACCTTTGACACTTCTGCATACAGCAAGAGCTGTCCTTGAAAGGCTTGTACTGTTGTGCGCATGCCACATGCACACACACATTCAGAGGGACTGAGTGGGGACTGTTCTGTGTGTGCAGTGCAGGGGTGGGAAAGGACAAAGCTCTCTGTAACTGTCCAGAGCAACCTGCCCTGCCCTGGTATGTTTGGGCCCCTTTTCCAAGGAACCAGGACATCAAAAATAATTTTCCTTCTTGTGGAAGGACAACAGGGAGCTAGGATAGAAAAGGGCAGTGAAGCCTATCTCATTATTTTCAAGGTCAGGAGTCCTTTAAAAAAGTCCATTTTTTGCTCTTTAATTCCATGTCTTGTTGCAAGACCTGACTCTGTGTACATGGAGACAGACAGGAGAAAGCCTTTGCCCATCTCCTAGGAAATAAGATCCTGCACCTGTCTTCTCCCAAGTCACTCACTTATGCACTGAATGGAGAGTTCTGCTCCCCTTCACTTCAGGGTCAGGTGCCTTTCCACTGGACAGTCAGATGGAGAGACAGGTGTTCATTAGCATGGCTGTAGGGAGAGGAAGATGATATTGGGGGTGGGGAGCTGTACACAGAGCTTGGGCCCAGCTTTCCCTTCCCTCCCACCCATCCCAGAATTGAGACTCTCAATGCTCCCTATCCCTAGACTGTCCTTTTGTACATCCTAGGGGTAAGGGAGTGGGGGGACAATGGGTAGGATGTTAGGTGTAAAGGACAAAATTGCCACTATTTTTTCATGGGTGCTTCCAAACTCAGGAAGGGCTTATCCAATGTACAACAGCCCCACGCTCAGTAACCTTCTAGAAGGGTTTAGCTGGGCAGGTAGCTCATTTCTGAGTCTCCAGCCCTTAGTCAAGGGAAGTACACCATAGATTTCTTGTCAGTGGCCTGGAAGAAAAAGAAAAATCTAGAATCCTGTTCATTTGATTGATAGTTTGGGGAAACTTGCTCTGCTAGGAGGTTTGGTGCAGTTGGGGCCTTTCATGGATGGAAACTGTTGATGTCACTGCTGCCCCTTCTCTGCCTCCCAGAACTCCTGATTCTGCTTTCTCTGTATTTAAAAAAATATTCAAATGGCCGTGATTTTGCTTTGTTTTGTTTTAAATTCTGAAGTTGTATTTTTTGTGTTCTTCTCATGTGCATCTACTTAATGGATTCTATTAATGCGTGTTTCTGCATTGGGCAGGTTTGGGCCTGGGAAGTGATGGGGAGCCTGAAGTTATTTTTATAGTGGTTAATGGCATTGTGGAATTTTTTCTTGGTGTTTTTGGGTTATACTAATATTTTTTCCCTAGTTGTTAGTTCATTTCTAACAATTAGTTCATAACATGAGTGAGTGATGGGAGAACGCAGAGAAAAGGAATGAGGGGTACTTTCTCATGAAATAGCCTACTGGTGGCAGTGGTGGGAGGGGAATTGTAGGGGAGCCTTCAAGCTCACAGCCTCTGCCTGGGCTCTTGAACACTCTGCCCAGTGTTTTCTGAATCCTGTCTTCATGGAGCCCAGACCATACTCTCTGCACTTCACATCTCACCCCTACTCATAACATTCTTAAAATATTTTAGTACTTTGTGTTTTTCTGTTTTCAATTAAACAGAACATACCAGTGTCCCTTCCCCAGATAGGCTCAGAGCGTGCCTGTCCCATCTCATGCCAGTGTTATTACTGCTTCTCTCATGCTCTGAGATGATACTCAGACCCTAGGCTGATTAGGGTGTGATGGAGCTTAGGGAGGGAAGATGTGGGAATGATGATGGGGAGAGATGTTATTTTTAACCAAAGAATTTGAAGAGCTGCCCAGACTAGGAAGCCTTGTGGCTCTGAAGAGGTAATAGCCCTTATCAGTAATAGATAGGGGTGGTAGGAGGACACTACTTGCACTGAGGGTGAAGACTAGACTTTGCTGCTTTACCGATCATCCCTGGGTTGGGCCACCCCAGCCCGGTTGCATTCCTCTTCCTTTCCTAACTTCCTGATGGGTGAGCTCATTCACCTCCTTGGTGCCTGGAGTGCTCACTCCCTGTGCTTCAGTGTCACCCCTTTGGGGGCCTACATGTGGGTTGTTACTTTGCACCACGAAGGTGCTGAGGCCTTGCTGGAATGGAATGTTGCAGGGGTCCCCAACAGTGGAATCTAGTCTCCCAGAAAAAAATCATTGCTACTCTCTTCTGCACATGTCCCACCTTCTGGGAGAGCAGCAGGATTGCACTCATGAGGGGCTACTTTGACCTTCTTAATCAAGGGCAATAAACTTGGGTTGGTGATCAGGTCAAAGCTTGTCCCCAGGCTCTGCTAGACCAGCTTTAGAGAAGAGGGTGCGTGGTATGAAAGCCAGTCTGTAAGGGCTAGGTGTTAAATCTTGTGCCTTGTCACAGATTCTTCCTCATTCCATCTTGAACCATTTACTCCATTTGTGTTTCCCAAATTTTATGTCCTTCCAAGCAATTAGCAGCTCTCTCATATTTACTCAGCTTTCACCCCTTCTTTTCGTAGGAGGGTCTTCCTTCAGCAGCTGAGACCGGCCTGTGAGGTCTAGCACCCTTCTGATCGTTGCTGAATTTTCCTGTACTGCCCTAGGGTGGTCCCCACATGACTGTAGTAGTGAGAAAGCTAGGCCCCCTCTCAGGCCATTTACCACTGTCCTTTCTCCCTGGCATATCCACTTGTTCTGAATAAACCTTCATTCTCCAAGCATATCCCAGAACTTCCTTGTCCTTGTTACAGATCTACCTCACAATTTCACAATTCAGCAAGGACACAAGCACCTGGTTTACATCTATCCTTTACTCTCTTCTTCCCGTCATGAGGGTTAGGAAGCTGGGGGCTAGACAGGGCTCATGATCAAATGCAAAAACTTGGTTATTTCTACTTCTAGAATGTCGTCTTTGGGATTTTTTTGCTCATTAATCACCCTAGCATAGTGTGAACTCTTCCCTTAGGTCTTGCTGTGGTAGGCCAGCAGGGGAGGCCGTGTCATGACTGCCTAGGAGATTAACTAATGCTTGGGAGCCACCCCCGGGAACACTAGCATTTGTAATTTCTCTAGGGCTCGAAGAGGATGTTCCTTCTCTACCTTGTTCCAGTTAGTTTAGAGGGTTCACCAGAACAAAACGTCCAGCTTGGAGGAGGAGATTTTCAGCCTCAGTAAAGAAAGTTCTTGCCTCATTACTATCCCCCCAAGACACGTTTTTTGGGTGGTGAGTGCTCTCTTGCATGCACTTACCACCCTGGACAGGAATTAATTTTTTTTTTTTTTTGTGAGGAAGATCAGCCCTGAGCTAACATCCATGCTAATCCTCCTCTTTTTGCTGAGGAAGACCGGCTCTGAGCTAACATCTATTGCCAATCCTCCTCCTTTTTCCCCAAAGCCCCAGTAGATAGTTGTATGTTATAGTTGCACATCCTTCTAGTTGCTGTATGTGGGACGCGGCCTCAGCATGGCCGGAGAAGCGGTGCGTCAGTGCGCGCCCGGGATCCTCACCCGGGCCGCTAGTAGCGGAGCGCGCGCACTTAACCGCTAAGCCGCGGGGCCGGCCCAGGAATTAAATTTAATTTATACTCAAACACATTTTATATATTTTCTTTATCCAGAAAAATTTTATACTCTGTACTCTTCCCGTGTCTATGCCAGTGCCTCCCTTCTAGCTTATTCTTCCTTTTCTGACCTGTGATAGTCTCATGTTCCTTCCCTACAATTTGGTAGAACTTCGTTTTGTCTTATTTCAACTTTTGTTTTAAAATAAAACACAACAGTTTACCTCCTGGTGTCTTATCCATGGGTGGAAGCTGGGAAGTTGGTGACAGGGCCCATATTTGCTACTACGGGAACACAAGTGGCAGCTTAGCAAGCCAAGGCCATGTCTCACAAGGCAGGAACTGGGCACACTGAATCCCACTTTGCTCTAGCACCTCAGCCAGGAGCACTAAGAACCTATTCCATCCACATAAGCAGAAATTCTGCTTTTGATGCTTCTTGCACAGGAAAGGCCAAGCTTGGAGGTTTAGGGATAGGATACACCTTGGAAGTTTAGGAGCATATTGCTCCCTTGCCTGCTGTCTCCTACACCAAACCAGTCATACTCACCCTAACACCTTCCCCTTGCAAACGTGATAAACTACATTGAAGGGAAGATAAATACACAGAGTCTTTTGAATCTCTATCAAATGTGGTTTTTATTCAACTGACAAGCACTTTTCTACAGCTGCACTTGTGGAACATCACATGGCAAAAACAGGAGTTTTTTTCTCTAGACTTTTTTTCCTTTTTTTAACCTTATTAAAAATGAGATTGGTCCTAAAAATATAGAAAGAAATAAATTTAAATTCACAAAAAACTGTACATTATCAAAAAGTCACTAAAACACCACATTTGGTTATATAAAAAGTCAAGTCCCTTTTGTTGTAAAAGGAACATTGGTAACTTGTTGGTGTTGATGGTGTGGTTTCTTCCTGTTACCAGACTGAGAGGGGTAGGGGATACAAAGGGGCAGGGGGTGGGTTTTGTTATTTTTTTTTAACCTGCCTTCCCTACCAAATACTCTTATTTGTCAAGAAGAGAAAAATCCACCTAGCTCAAGGGGCAGTGAAGATGAGGAAAGAAAAGTGAGAAATGGCCCCTTTGATCATGCCCCACCCCACCCCCCTTCAGGCCCCACTTCTTCAAACTGAGGCTAGGACTCTACCCTACCTTAAGAGTGCCTGGTCCCTAGGGAAGAGAGGGAGCTGGGAGAGGAACACAAAGCAGGAACAGTTGAGATTTCACTCCC